AAAAAACTAACAGGCAGAAACAAGAAGATTTAACTTAAGCACGTGCACCATAATATACATCAGCCATACAAAATCATTGCGAGGTGACTCCTTGCACCAGGGCCAACTAATGTGGAAAACGGCGCACCTGATATCTTGTATTAATGCGGAAATGCAAAGCAGAAAGAAATATCCTCTTCATCAGCACCATCCGCAAATCTCTGTATGTGCGGACCTTGTTAACGGGTATCTAGAAAAAAACAAAAAAAAAAATCTGCATTATGAAATAAATAATCATAAAAGAAAAATAACCTGTTACATCTTATTAAGGAAATAGAGCTCCAATTTAAAATAACATCAAATAAGCACAATCACTGATGGTACCAAACTACATAGGGAGAACTATTAGATGCAATTGACAGGCATTAAGTTGGTTCAATTAGAATGAAACAAATAGTTGGCTTATAAACATATGCTGGCCAACATTGAGTAACTGAAGTGTAAAATTTTTTTAAATGCTTCAACTTCCAACTAAACAAGGAAATTAAATCCTTCCGCGCCTGAAGTCCTTCACAAATACTTGAGTTAAGATTGTTCATACGAGACAAAATACAACGGATACTTTCAAATGTACCAAATGTTCTCTTGTTGATTCAGCTTAAAATTTGATCATATTATGTATATTCAAATCAATCAGTTGTAAATTATATTCTGCAAGCTCATCATCAATGTGCTTTCAGAAAAATGGCCCCTTCACCTCAACTTCATTAGCAGGTGGAATAAAAACTGAAAATGCATAAAAATATCAAATCATACATGTGTACATAGATTTAAGACACTAATAAGCTAATAAGCTATGGTATAGGTGAAGACTATAGCTCACAAAATGAATCAGCAATATACACACAAAGTCATACAGTTTTACTGTTTTAAGCTACTCTAATCATTACCAGCCACTAGATCAACTTTGCACATGCTTCTTAGCAAAATACTATAACGAAGTTCCAATTTCAAACTACAAGCTGACTTGAAGTATTCTTCCTTAACTTTAACCTTGTACAACTTAACAATTATGTCGAAACATATAATGGTTACAAATAACAGGATGCTTTCTGATTCCATTAGCAGCTAAAACCCAACACACAAAAATATAAACAATTACGAACATGAAAAGGAAAAAGGGAAGAAATTCTTTCTAGACTATGATAGAAATTCAAACAGAAAAGGCCAAGTAATGTGTAGAAGACTATAAGCAAAATGTTTAATGACAGAAAGAATAACCTTGCAGAACATATTAATCGAGAAATTCTGAAGCAACTCATGCTGAAATATCTGAGGAGGCTTTGCATCTGCATAGCTTCCAGGAAAGGACCAATCATGTTGAACAGGAGGGCGTACAGCATGCCTTTCCTTTCTAAAATTTTTTGATTGCTCGAAAGAACCAAGTAGTTTTTCCTGATTTAAACCACTAGAAAGTCCAACTGACAACTTAGGAACGAGAAAACTAGCCATTGCACCAAAAGCACTAGTAGTAGGTGCAACAGATGCCTCAGTTTGTGTGCCAGTATGCCCAAAAACTGCCTGTGAAATTCTTGAAAAATTAAAATTAATTCAAAAGTAACAGTATGAGAAAATTAATTCAGGCAAGAAGTATAATATGGTGTCTAGTGTCACATGTCAACACCGTCTCGAGACAGTTAGGAAGCAATTGGATATATATTATTTTCAATTTTGTCTCACCGAATAATTATTTTCATTGGAAATACGACGAGATACAATTTTAAAAAAAAAAAATAATAATAAAATCATCAAGTCCCACTTTTATCTCCTCAATCTTATCAACGCAACAAAATAATAAAAAACAAACATTACCACACATTTCAACAAAAATCACGATTCATAACTACCAATCATTTCCTTTCATTATTTTTACTGTTTTTTATATCAAATCAAGTTTAATCTTTGCATTTTATCTCATATCCATTTACAACCTAAAAGATATTTCACTACTCTTTCACCCACTCTTTACATTGAAACATTTTTTTCCAAAATAATCTATATGTAATTGCACCCTTAACAAATTGATAGCAACGTACTTCGATGTGGTTAACCGTATAAGAAATGTCATCAATATCCCCAACAATGTATAGTGTAGCATTTCCTGGGAAGTACCAGCGCTCATGGAATTTCCTGATTTTATCAGCATCCCATTTCTTAATCTGCTCCTCTAATCCTATCGGAAACCTTTTACTCAACTTGTTCTCAGAGTGCAAGTGTTGCAACAACTATGCCAACAAAGAAGAAGAAAAATTGGGTGAAAATAAACATAAAATTTTGAAAAAATAAGACAAACTTAACGTAATGTATCTAGCAACAATTAGAGAGTACCTGGCAATCAACACGGTACTCTATCGTATTCATCATTTGTAGTTCTGACAAAATTGCCCGTCTCTCTTTCTCAACTCGGGAAGCCAAAAATTTGGGGTGAAAGGCAATCTATGTCATTCAAAGGTAGATTAATAAATCAACCGCTTCTATACACAATATAATATGGACGATCCAAACTAGTCAAGAAAATCGTGACTAAAGATCAGTTGTCAAAGAAATAGATGATAATGCTTTCATTATATCAAAGTATTAATCATTATAAAAAAATAAATGTAAAGGCTTACCTCATTCAGAGCATCCAGAACAACTGGCAGCAATTCTCCTCCAGAGTCCTGGAGATCAACGTTACATTGAATTAATAATTAAAATTTGCAATCTGAAACACAACTACAAAACAAGAAATGAAAATATGAGATGCAACGGATAATCAAAGCCATAATAGATGACAACACATTTGTCCAAAACCTAATTACATTCCCACTATGATTGATTACTGATTAACTTATACTTTGTGGGGATCTATTCAACCATTATCATTTACAGCAAGTTGCTTTTTTCATCTTGAAGGGTCACAAAAAAATCACTTGACTCCAAAGTTTGCTAAAGCATCTACAGTGGCCCCAGATTTCATCAAAGATTGATCCTCCTTCTCCATGCAAAAATAGCACACAATGCTAAACTATAAGACATGACTTGACAAAGTTAAGCAATCCCACAGGAACAAGTTTAAGAAGGGATTAAAGGCAAAAGATGAGAACAGCACAAACCTGCGTACTTGTGGGTGAATGGATATGAAATACAGTATGATGAAAATCTGTGTAGGCATTAGATCTTGCCCCAGTCCCCAGAAGTTTCTCACGCTTCTTACTTCCAAGGAAGGCAACATGTTCAATCATATGCGCAACTCCTTGCTCATCATCTTCCTCATCGATGGATCCCACATGAACTTCCATATGAGCTTCAAACCTATACTTCAAACACAGAACCTTGTAGGAAGACAGTCGAGAATGAAGATGCATAATTTCTTCAAATTGAAACACTTGGATGGCCAATTGGGGATCATAAATGTATCTCAAAACATAAGGCCACTTACTTCCAACTAGTACTAAAATTGTAACGGGACTGTAGATTTCCACTTCAATTTTTTATTTAAGTTACTAGGAATCCCCTTTGATTTTAAAATATCCAGCGGAATTGTACATTGTCAAACATTTATTTGTATTGTTATCTCGGCTTCTATGGTGAAAATGATGTTTGCTAAAGAACATGTAACTCAATCAATCTTTAGCTCAAAATCATGCGCCATCCATCCTTCGAAATTTTATCTTTAAGGTTATTAAACAGTATCTCCAAAAAGCTTCACAACTTTGAATGCCAATGAAAATATGTAAGCGCGTGTGTGTAAAAAAACAATACGCCCTACCTCCACCTTTAAAAGATAAATTCAGGCAGGGCGTAAAGTAAATGACTTAGCTCTAATTGAAGTCGTCCATTCAAGACAGAGAATGCACTATAAAAGCACCAAGTACAGGCACCATATGCAAATCACTCTTTTACCCATCAAAGGGACTAATATATCTAGCATTCTTTCCGAAGGACAAGGTCCTATGCCAACAATGTAGCTGTAATCATCAAAAGTTCCCTAGAATATTATCATTTTCATTAACAAGGTAAAAATCATAGTTACTGCAATTAATCTACTAATAAGATCATATTCAACTATAATAAAGGAACATATAAATGGTCTGTTTACTCGATTGCAGATTATGTGCCACATAAACTACTACTAGATAGCGAATAGAAGAATCACCGTATAGTAACTTGATAGCTTGAACAGTAATTACAATTACTGCAGGTCTTCACTCATTCATATTGGCAGGTTATTACTCAGAAGTCATATAAATAACATTCCTTTCATTTTATTCCCCAGAGCGAAACAGTAACTGCTGCCTTGCAGTTATGCATGCTGACATGGACAGGAACTATATTAAACCAACATTGTATGCTCTAAAGAGTAAAGTGGGAATCTTAAACCTTGACCTATATGAATCTTTTTGGATGATCACAAACATCCCTTTAACCAATCGAGCGTTAACGTGAATTCCATTCCTTCCAACAGATGGAACATTTTATTCTCCTCCCCTAGATGCTTAAATTCTCAGACTTCAAACATAATGAGACAACACCAGTGGCTCCACTCCTTGTAGCATCAATTCCCAATAGTATGAAATATTACTTGTACGTCCTATTGTTTACTTTATAATGCTTTGCATTAGTTTTAATGGCAAAAGTTGCACATAAGTTTTCTGTATGTTTCTGCTATTTCTTTTGTATCTTAATGCCGATTGTTCATGTTAGGTAACTGTCTTAGTCAAAGTACAAGAGCTTTCAATTTTTCTGGTGTATGCCTCCCACATTTTTTTGCTAGGACTTCTGCAATCTAGTTATACAATTACAACTTCATTTTCCCACAAATGCTTATCTTCATCCTTTATGATCTCCTATCCTTTTCTTGAGATCTTTTTTCTGTGATAAGGATACAGCTCTAACAAATAAACCAACAACAATGAAACATGGGTGAATTAATGAATTAATAACTCACTCAAAAAAATATTATGAGAGAAACATGGGTGAATTAATGAATTAATAACTCACTAAATAAAATATTATGAGTGAAACATGGGTCACTTTATGAATTAATCACGCACTCAACAAAAATTATGAGTTAAACGAGATGGTGAGAAAAAAAATGCATCCAACAAATGAAGGATGAAGCAAAGGGACAAGGTCTATAATATACATATATATATACACACACACACATATATATATACACACACACACATATGTGTGCGTGTGTGTGTTTGTGTGTTCCTACAACACATAGGAACATAGACAAGGAGGGAGGAGACCAATTTTCACACTGCAGTAAAACCTATAATATTTTATTGGCATTCTACCATATGACTTAGAACAAGCTAAAATTCATATATCATGTCAAACAGACAGAGTTAAATGCTAAAGAACTGCACCTATTAGGAGGGACTTTGTTTGGCAAGATGAGATAGCGGAGCCCATTTTTCAGTTGTCCTCTGTGCAATTTCGGGTGGGGAGGAAGCTCAAGGCTCAAAAATTTCTCCAACTCTAACCTCTCTGTTTCTGAGCCTAAAGAATCTAAACTCTGTTTTTCCGTAACACTATCCGGCCAGGCTGTACTTGCTGCATGCGGCTCTTCAGGTCCCACAGTAGCAAGAGGAATATGAACTTCTCTAGCTGGAGGATCAAACTGACAGGCAAACAAATTATGTAAAATATAGACGTGAAAGTTGTAACCAAGAAATGATGGACCTTGATATATGAATCAAAGAGAATATCAGTTGGTTTTGATGAATACTCAAAGAACTTGTATAAACCATATTAAACCATATTAAAATCACATACCGTACACATACACAACAGATACTTAAAAATGTGTCAACAAAAGAATAATCAGAAACAATGAACACAAAGGCAATAAATTATTGCCCTCCTGCTTCGAGGAAAGAGAATGGAACTACAAGCATGAAGCAATTGCAATCTGTGTGAGCATAAGAGCAATCTGCAATGTTGGTAAATCAAGTAATCATGAAATTATTTACCGAGTACAGGAATGCTTTCACAAACAAATATTGGAGAATGCAATATTTGCTTTCCTGAAACAGGAAGAAAAATGATCCTCTGGCATTTTGCAATTAATATTACTAGTAGTATTATAGAATTTAAAACAGCGTGAAAGATTATTATAATTCCAAACACGACTTGTAATGTACCATAATATACAACTTACATTAGGCAATATAAAGATTGGCATTCATCAAATATCAACACAGCTCATTTAACCAGAACAAACGAAAAACATCATAATTTTCAACACGGTAGTCAAGTGAAAGTCTCAAAACATGTCTGCACCACTAAACATAGACCAAACAAAGGATAAGAAATTTTCACCAATTCCTTACTTTGGCTTTATTGAGTTTGTGCTTTGGCAGGCAAAGGATGGAGTTGTCAACAAAGAGTTGAGAGGTGAATCTCGTCAGGCCTACATGCTTCCTCTTGAAAGAATGGAAACACGACACTTGTTGACACTTATGACGCAACTGCAATTGAGGTTTCAATCCATTGAACTCCAAAGAGAATCTTCCCCACGTATTCTGCAAATAAGATATCAGTGGACAAGAATTATAGTAAATAACTAGATCAAGTAATACATTAAAATATGCAAGTAAAGAAATAATAGATTTCCCCAAAATTTAAATGAAGAAATTTTGTTGATAAAAGAGTAGAAAGACCCAATCTTCGAAGTTCAGATAGGAATATAATGACCTTTTCAAATTCTAGACTACCCATTTACGTAACAACCTTTAACGATTTGTGATTGTACACAGTGTGGACTATGTCTTTTCACCTATGTGGAAGTAATGGCCTCTAACAGAATTATTCTAGCTAATGAAAAGGCTTCCACTGGTTTTACTGGGAGAAAGGTTCAAATTCATGTGGCCTTATCCTACAATCAAAGGTAATTGATACCAACATGAAGACACTGACCAATAGATTTAGAGTATTAGTTCTGTAATTTAACAGCAACAACCTGTATCAAACAAGAATTTTGTTTCTCAACATCAGTGCCAAAATTTAAGGTATTGAGGCCCCAACAGAAGACACACAAACACAAAATATGGGGGAAAATCGTACAAAAAAAATTCACATGACAACACATTAAATTAATTTTCCAGGCAATCACACTCTACATAAGAACACTATACACAATCATTCTCACAGCTATATATATTGCTATAGTACTAAGGACCCGCTAAAGCAACCATCTTTCCAACAAAGATAACAATCAACCATGGAAAAATGCAAACTAATACACATATGCAGAGATTAATTAATCAATTACTCATATGAATAAGCAAACCAACATTACGCTCCAAACTCCAAGGGTAAAACATATAAACACCCTAGCAACAAAGTTAAACCTCTAAAAAGAAACCACAAGATAAGGGATTGAAACAAGTGCAAATTTAAATACAAACTAATGTATACATCATGAGAAACATTACCTGGCTGCTAACGGGACGCGTGCAGCTACTCCGACACCTCTGTTGACGCAGAGTAATGGGATTCTTCGATGGTAACAAATTAAAGTTAGCAGTAAGCAAGGTTGAATTAGAGCTGTCTTTACTATGTTGATGAAAACTATTGGCATGAATCGCGGCAAAGACCGGTTTTGTGACGGACGAGCTCTGCATATCTGTGATAATCGGCACTAATCAACAATTTTCAGAATTCAAAGGATAAATTATACTACTACAGGAAACTGGAGACGAAGAAGAAAAACGTTTTGAGAGTGAAAACCTATGGGTCGCTATGTAATTGCGCCAATCTATCTAAACAGTAAAGCTTAGAAAGAGAGGAATGTGGTTGTGGCTTGGGCGGAGTGGGCGGTGTAAGTGGTGGTCGTTTGGCCAGCTTGGCTTAGATTTCGTTTTTCCTACAAAAATATCACATCTCTATAATCACATCTCGATTATATATAAAGAACTTGTCATTTTTTTTAAGTGAAAATTCATTTTTTTAAAATTTATTAACTAATCTTTCATGTATATAAATATATTGAGGTAGAGAGAGATGGTGAAAGCAGTAAGAATGAATCATTGCATGATATATTAACGCGTTAGACACGGTCAAAGGGTACAACATTAGTCAAACACGCGGTGACATTTCTATAAATAAGTGGACTTTTGATTTGTCACGCAGGGGTATTTTAGTCATTGCGTAGAAGTCACTGTTGCGTTAAGGTGCAATCTAACGAACAATAATGTGCAATGTGTCTATCAATATGCAGTCTGTCGTGAGAGTATTTTTATGTGCAATTGCAAATGTGATATAGTGCAATGCACTCAACATTAAAGTGCAACTATTAACTTTTATTAATTTACAAATTTAACCCATGAAATTAATTGCAATATAGATAATTTTTTTTTTAATTTACAAATAAGTCACTTCAACCTTTTTTTTTTTTCAAACGATAGGAGATGCTCATAAAATAAACCATAGTTTGGTACAAGACCGTCGTGCCTACCAACGGGTAGAAATGAAAATGGGAGACACACTACAAGCAGTGGTCTAAATACAAACCCACCCGGGGTGTCAAGCAGGTACAACCACCCGAACCTTGACATACCTCCAACAAAAAGAACAGAAGCAGAAAAACCCAAACAAACAAGCTAATAAATAAACTACACTAACATCTAAACCAACCAGAAAAACACAGCACACTGAAAGAGGAAAACAACACTAAGAGGGACTGACTCAACAGACTGATTTGAACTCCTTCCATTCCTTCACTGCTCTTTTATTGATGATGTGCTCAGGAACATACTCCTTGTTAAAGACCCACAGATTTCTCGAATGCCATAGCCACCATAGTATGTAGTGACAACTGGATTCTAGCTTCAGAGGTTTCAGTTTTATTAATGGCACAAACCTGCCACCACCACCCTTTGAAATTTGTATATTGCAGGTTAATGCCATCCCAATAAACTGGGGCCATCTTCCACACAGTTGCAGCTTTGTGACAATGAAAGAATAGGTGTTCTATGGTTTCTTCAGCTTCACCACAAACTGAGCATATAACATCCACCTCCATCCCTTTTCTGAATATGTTCACCCAACAGGCAACACACCATTGAAACACTTCCAGACAAAGTGTTTAATTCTGCCTCTAACTTTCAATTTCCAGCTTCTATCCCTTACAGATATGTCCACCTCCTTAGACCTGCTTCCCTCAGCAATATCAAGAGACAACAATTTCTCATTGATCAAAAGGGAGTATGAGTCAGCCACTGTAAAATCTCCTTTTTTGTTCAGACCCCACTTCCACTTATCATCTCTGTCAGGAGCTAAGGTATTGATATTCAGAATGGCTTCACTCACCTGCTGGGAAAAGAGCTGTTTCACCAAATCAGAGTTCCATCTTCGACCAGAGTCATCAAACAGCTCATATACCCAAGTTAGGCTCAAAGTGTTCTCCTGCAGGAAGAGTGGTGCAGCACCACCCAAACCAGGTATCCACCCTCCATCTGAAATCTTGGTATTTGTACCTGATCTTATCTCTTTCCAACAAAAGGACTTGAAGACAGGAAGCATTTTCAACCAATTTGACCAGAGCCACGAGGAGGATTCTTTTCTGACTGCTTGAAAGATCGAAAAATTAGGGAAGTACCTGCTCTTCAAAATTCTTAAGACAAGCAGCTCTGGCTGGTTTGTGATTCTCCATAGCTGCTTCAAAAGAAGGGCTTCATTGAAAAGTTTATAGTCTTTAAATCCTAAACCACCTTGAGCTTTAGGCATAGTGAGTAGGTTCCAGTTCTTCCAATGAATTCCCTTCTCTTGAGTGCCCCCTTTACTCTATCAGAACATTGCTGTCATGCTTGCTAATTCCTTACAAATTCTTGCTGTGAGCTTGAAACAGGACATTGTAAAAACTGGTAGAGAGTTTATCACTGCTTTGATTAACACCTCCTTTCCAGTTGTGGATAGGTACTTGTTCTTCCAGCTAACCAGTCTTTTTCTAACAGATTCAGTGACAAAGGCAAAGGCCTCCTTCTTAGATTTGCCTATGCCAAATGGCAACCCCAGATATCAGGAAGAGTTATGAGCAGTCAGGCCATGAAGTGCCTCACAGATATTGGTTTTGACTTGAGGCAAAGCATTCTTGCTAAAAAAGACTGTTGACTTGGATTGTTCATACACTTGCAAGATATCCATAAGTAGTATAGCCTATCCCATATCAGCTTTGCAGAAGACAAGGAGGTCATCAGCAAATAAAAGATGTGTCAGCAAAGGTCCTTCCCTAGCCAGTCTCAACCCCTTAAATCCACCATCAACAGCAGCATTGCTAATAAGAGCAGATAGTGCTTCAGAGACAATCAGGAAGAGATAAGGAGAAATTGGGTCTCCTTGTCTCAGTCCACGAGAAGGTTGCACATAACCCACTGCCTCCCCATTAAGCATGAATGAGAAACTGGCTGAAGACACACAGTACATCACCCATTTGACAAATGTACCAGCAAAGCCCATTTTTAACATTAACTGACTCAGACACCTCCATTCAACTCGGTCATATGCTTTCATCATGTCGAGTTTTAAGGCAATAAACTTGTGCTTCCCAAATCTGTGTCTGTTTAGGTAGTGATAGCATTCCTGTGCAATGATAACATTGTCTAGCAATTGCCTACCAGGTATAAATGCCCCTTGAGCTGTGCTGATACAATGGTGAAGGCAATTCTTTAACCTGGTGGCAAGGATCTTTGAGATAATTTTGTATACCACTGCACAGAGACTGATGGGCCTGTATTGGTTGAGAGAAGTTAGTGTCACCAGAGTATGGTTCCAATATTTAAGAAATAAACCTGAAAGGAAGAAGATTTTGATGGCTGTGCAGAGGTCATGCTTAATAACTGGCCAGAAGTGCTGGTAAAATAAGCAGTCATCCCTTCTTCACTTGGTGCCTTCAGAGGATTCATAGAAAAAATGCAGCTTTTAATTTCCTCCTCTTCAATTGCTGCAGTTAGTTCCAGGTTCATCTCTTGTGTGATAGTTTGAGCGATAAGATGAAGAATTCTCTCCTCTCCACTGGACCCTTCTGTGGTAAACAGCTTCTTGTAGAATAGTGAGATATGATCTTGGATCTCCTCTTTTGATTCTAAAACCCTGTTCCTCTAATCAATCATTCTGGTGATAGCATTCCTCTTTCTCCTTTGGACAGTGACTGCATGAAAATATCTGGAATTCTGATCACCTTCCTTAAGCCACAAATTTCTAGATTTTTGTTGCCAAAACAACTCCTCAGAGTGGTGAGCCTCTTCCAATTCTCTCTTGAGTCTTTCCCATTCCTTCCAGTTCTTACCATTGCCAAGCTGTCTCATATCCTCTAGCTTTAAGGTCAAGGCTGCAATCTTCTTTCTGTTGTCTGTGCCAATGTGAGAGCTCCATTCAGATAATGCCATTCTTGTCACTCTAACTTTCTCTTTCAATTGGTAGAAAGGTGTACCCAGCTGAATGTGAGTCCAGGCTTTTGAAACAACATCCCAAATCCCAGGAGAAGAAATCCATCTCTTGTCAAATCTGAATTTTCTTTTGTATTTGGCTTGTTACTTCAGCTTGCAGAGTAAGCATCCCATGATCTGAGACACTCATGAATAGATTTTGAGTCTGGGTCGGGTATTTAGTCATCCATCCTAGGGAACCAAAAGCAGTATCCAATTTCTCCTCAACAATGTCTTCCTCCACCCTGTTGTTGCACCAAGTAAACTGATAGCCTCTCATACTGATTTCAGTCATCCCCATGTTGGAAATAAAATTCTGGAACGGCAGTAGGCTCCTTTCAGATCTAGGTCTACCTCCTTGTTTATGCTCTGCAGAAGATAAAACATTCCAGTCTCCAATCAAGCACCAAACTTCTCCCCAGTTTTGTTTATCATTAAGTAACAATTGCCATTGGGTTAACCTGATTGGCAGCTCAGTGCTCATATATACAAACACAAGCCAGCATGGTTCAATATCATTAGACAACTTATACTGAACTTGGATACAAAAATTAGACTGAATCACCTGCAAAACTATTACATTCATGTCCCAACATAATAACAACCCACCTCTACTTCCATCAGGTTCCACAAAACAAACTCTACCCTCAAAACCTAACTTATTACAGATCAAAGCAGTAAATTTTTTGTTCTTTTTTTTGTTTCTGATAAGAATAAAAACTTGGGGTGGTGAGTTTGTAAGGCCTCTCGAATTTGGGGAACAGTAGAGGGGCCACCCAAACCTCTACAGTTCCACACCAGGGCTAGCATTGGTCACCATGGGGCCAATTACGGCTGGCTACCACCACCTCTTTGCCTGATAGTTTGGCTCTCTTGTTTTCCACACCCTGGCTTTGGCTGACTTGCTTTCCTTCCTTTTGGATATGAGCTTCTCCTCTCCTCTTCTTAGATCCACCTGGTATATCCTGAGGGTTGGTCTGCTGCTCATTTCTTGCCAGCCTTCCCACCTTAGCTGCAGTTCTTTTCCACATTCTCCCTTTTGGCTGCTTTTTGAGGTCCTCATGATTCTGGCCTTCTGGTTCTGCCTGCTCTTGGATTTCCATTCTAACTTCTTCTTCTTCTGGTATGAGCTCCAGACTCCAATCTCTCTCTTGTGTTGGGCAGTGAGGTGTGGCAGGAGTTGTGTTCTCTTTCGCTGATCCTGCCTTCTCTCCCATCCCACCTATTGATGATGAAGATTCCACCATAGCTAGGTTAGTGGGAGAGTTTATTGAGATATCCTCTCCACTGGCCTGTTGGTTCTGAGATTGTTCTCTCTGCTAAGAAGATAAGTTTGGTTCTGGAGGACGGTTCATAGATGGATCACTATTGTAGCTAACTGATTGTGATTCTGAAATGATAACTCCTTCTGCCGCTCGCATCCACTCACCATACTGCCC